AGAAAAGGTTCAACCGAACGGAGGCGGGCCGGAAGGCCGCGTCAGAGTGGCCGAAGGTTCAGAGGACTCGCGTGTACGAGCAGCTTGACTTCTTCAAGGAGGCGGTTGGGCTCGGGCGCATTCGAGACATTACCTTCATCAGCAACCCGGACGCTGAGGACTATGCCCTAACGTCCGATTACAACGAGGCTATGAACGGCTGCCTTCGGTACCTGGCCGACGGGGACATCGACGACGGGACCCGCGTCAAGGCTATCGACTCGATCGACCCATCGGTTATGACATTGCTAGCGCACAGGTACGATGACGTGCACATGACATACAGCAATGCCAACCGGAAGGTTGTGTCGAAATTCCTTCATGCGGCAATCAACACACAGTTGTTGGCCCAGCGGATCAGGTACGCCCTCCCAGCGATTGGGAGGGTCGAGCCCTACGTGAAGGGTGAGCCGGTTGACCCCGTGCTTTTCGGCTGGCCAACGTGCTTGAAGCTAGCCAAAGCACTTCACGAGTTCGCGGCCATGGAGGAGAAGCCCGACTGGTCTCACGACCAGGAGGGCGACGAAATCGACGTCGACGTTGCGGCATGGATGAAGGTGGCGGAGGACGAATCCTATAACGCCATCACCATCGACATGCAGGGAGCCAAAGTCGACGAGTCCGAGATCGTCCTCGAAGCCGTTGACAAAGGAGAGGAAAACTCCGATGATGAACTCGACCGGGTGGAGGTTGCGATGTCCCAGTACATCGACATCACGGCGGAGAAGCACGGACTGTCCAAGGTTCCCGACGACGAGGACAAGGACAAATGGCTCTTGCTGGGGGATGACACCCATGACTTCGGATGGGATGCGGAGAATTTGCCCCCGGGAGTTCACCGTGCTGCGCCGGAAGGCCAGTCGATAATCATAGCGGAAGGAGACCTTTTCGATCAAGAAACTGTGGCGTCTGTGGAGCTGGTGTCGGAGGCTGATGAGTCCGAGGCGGCAGGGATGAGTTCCATGATCACCGCGGAGTCGGTCGCTTTCGAATCCGTGACGGAGGGCACCAGCACATCCAAGCAACCACCAACCCCGCCGCCGTCAAGGCGCGGAACTGCTAGCAAGCACGCTGTGGGGGAACCCCAGTCGACTGGTTTCATTGAGATTGGAGACGAGTCGGACCCCACGGCTGCAGGATCGACCGACAAGCCCCAGGTGAAGGCGATGCCGAGGGTTGCGAAGGCCAAGGTGCCGCCGGGCAACGCCGAGGGGGAACCCCGGTCGAAAAAGCAGAAAGACCCTAAGCAAGAGAAGATCTTCTGGGAAGACTGGGCGAGGACCCGGAAGATCAATACCAAGGTCCCGGCCGAGGAGCAGAGCGAATGGCTCGAGGTCGAGGACATGGGGCACGTCCCGAAGGTCAACATGGACCGAGACTACCGACTGGTAGCAATTTCGAAGAAAATGTCCTATTTCCTCCGGGGAGGGGCATTCAAGGACGGCAAGCCCCACCCGCCGTTTCGCGGCATTGACCTGTCGGTGGAATTCGATGCGCTGGTCAGGCATCTGAATGACCGGATCGCCAACGTCATGCCCTGGGAGGTGATGATCTGCATCCGGAACAATAACACCCGCAGATTCCGCGTGATGGTTGGGCCCCCTCCATTGGGGGAAGCATCCTGGAAAGGATTGCCGTATCAGGCTTTGCGGGTGAGGGCCGTGCAAGGACACCACAACGAGCTCACAAGGAAATACACCGAGCAGGCGATCCTGACAAATTTGTATTCCTTTGACGAGGAGTTCACCGCGGCCAAGTACCTCGCCGGCCAGTACCCGAGGGCTGTGCGGCACCCGGAACTTACTGACCAATGGCGCCGAGGCTTTCCGGCTGTCCTTTATCACACCTGCGACCTCAGATCGGCCGAGAGTATCCTCAAGTTCGGCCTGGTTCCGGGGGGCTATCCGAAGTCGACAGGCAGGGCCCACGTCTACTTCAACCCAACGCCACCCTGGGAGGCGCAGATGAGGAAGCTGGCAGGCACGCGAGCCGGAAGGCCCGTCACAATTGCATTTGACACTGAGCTCATGATGCAGGACGGGATCAGGCTATTCACAAGTGATGAGGCCTTCATGTCCGCGGACTGGGTTGGAAACGCCTATGTCATATACGCCTTCCATACCCGCAAAAATGAATTCCTTTACTTCAACCGGGCATACCCAGAGCTTCGCAAGCGGTATCGCGAGGCACTGACGACCGAGCTCGCGCCTGGGCCTCACGACGTCAACCCAAACTTTTTCCGAAGTGAGAACACCCTCACCGCAGAGAAGGCCTGGAGGCATTGGCGGACCGTCGTTGAGGGGACGAAGAACGGCAAGCTGCTTCCGGGTTCCGTCACCGAAATTGAGACGATCGATGAGCTCGCTCCCCGGAAGGGGAAGTCGAATGAAAGACCTGCAGGCCCGACCTATCAGGTTGCGCCTGCGACTCTTCGGAGGGTGCCCGAGCTCTCCAGGGGGGAGAAAGGGCATGGTCGCGGCTGGAACAACCTCCGGAACCGCTACCAGAGCGAGCCACGTTGGGAGGACCTCCTGTTCACGACCATGATGAAGATTCCGGTCGTAAAATGTTGGAACCGGAGGTGCAACAACCAACAGATCGACGGCTACCTGTTGTGTCAGGAATGCCGGACGGACATGGTGGCTTGGACGGACGCACGCATTGCCACTGAGGTGGTACGCCTCGAGCACACGGCATCCCTCCAGGGCATGGTTTTCTACCTGGAGGATTTGCAAGGTGGCGGAGGGAAGTGGATCCGTTCCAAGCATCACTTCAAGGAAGGTGAGAAGCGGGGAGGAATCTCCGTCGAAGCGTCACTCAGGAAGACGGCAAAGACGCATCTGACCAAGGCGTTGGCGATGGGGTGCGAGAAGGTATCCGACCGGCTCTCGGTCGACCCCTTCTACGCATACAACTGTGCCACGCAAGGGCTAACCCCTGAGAGCCTCGATTTCCTTGGCCGGATTGCCCGTGCGGTTGTTGCTGACCCAGGCCGTACCAGGGAGGAGCGCGAGAGAGGCGGATCCCAAAACACCGGAACCAAGCTGGTGTTCATCCCGAATCTGAATAAGCGCGACCCCCATGAGCTCAACGTTTCCACGGAAGCATTCATCGCCCACCACGCGAGGTTTTACACCATCACTCAATTCGCAGTCATGTGTGCCTACCGCTTCATCCCGGGCAACCAAGTGCCGATCATCATCGGGCACAGCGGATCATACGTCCCGGAAGGGAACGTCGAAAGAATTTTGGAGGTCATGACCAGTTTCATTCGGGCCTCCTGGATCAAGTTCGACTCCCAGGGCACCATCAGCACCGGTGAACTGGAAATCCCGCGGTTTTCCTCCGGCCGGACGCGGACCTATCCTGTTGAGGCGAGGAACACCCAGTGGAGGGCGATCACCCGGTCCATTCGCCCCGAGCCCTACACCAAAGGAAAGGGCAAGGGCAAAGGCAAGAGCACGGGGCGTCAGGACTGGAGCTCTTGGTACGGGTGGTCCTCTGGATGGCATCAATGGCGTCAGGGCCCGTGGGGATGGTGAGCGCCCGCATCAATTACAAAAGTTTGCTTATGTTGCGGTAACCATTTCAATTTCATTGGTGATGTCATGTTCAAAACTATTATCTTTCATCCATTGATGCCGCAACATTAGCAGTGCTAAGTTTGCACGCCCGGCGGAAGCTGCGGCCGTAGGTCAATCCACGGCCGCCACCACCGGATGTCATTTCAGTATTGCCCAGCGGAAGCTGTGGTCGTGAGATCACCTTCGCTGATGGCAACAGTGTGAATTCAGTTTCAAGCATTCACATGGAAATCACATGTGTTTTGCCCGACGGAAGTCGTGGTCGGCCGATTCGGATGGCACGCTCCTGCAAAAGTCCAAATGCATCGCAGTTGCAGCGACCAGTGACGCATGAGGCCTCATATCACCATGGCTTGCCACCTATCCCACTGAGGCTCTACGTCTTCATTGCTTTGACCTCAGAGGACTTTGCTTCAGGCATGGGGGGGAGAAATGTGTACAAAGTACTGTTCTCACCAACGCACCTCTGCAAAGCGGGGGGTGTTGATAGGTAATGGCATACTGACATGACAATTTGGCTCAAGAAAAACAAGCTGCTGCCCGTGCTGATTTTTAGGTAGATCCCACCTTTCAACAATTCTTTCATGCTTCCATTACGAAAGGATTTGGCCCAGCAATTTCACACGATGAACAAGGGGTCTCCGATTTGACCAGCCCAAAGAGCTCCGCATTTCTTGTTTCCCTTTGTCGGGATGGATGAAGTTCTCTAGGTACTGGGAGAAGCCCTGTACGACTGGTGGATTTCGTCCATCAGTATGATAAGACTTGTGATTTCGCCTCCTTTCCACGTTTGAAGCGCGAAGCCTCTCAGAGGAGCCCAGCCGAAAAACCGCGACGAAAAAAGTGCTTTTCGTGGGGCGGATGAAGGGTGCTTGTTGGCTCACCAGTCTTTGGCTGCCTGAAAAAAATGCGGACCCAAAATAGGTAGTTTCCTTTGGGAGTTGTTTAAACCACTCCACACATTTTAAAGCAAATTCCAGATGAAGCTAAAGCCCTGGTTGATTTGATCTTGGGTGCCCTTTACACTCCCGTGTATATATATATATATATGTATATTCCTAGGACGGGTTTATGAGTCCCGGGTCAACATTACGCTCAAGAATGACACACACACACACATTTTACCTGTCTGGCGCAATAGGCAGGGAATGCGTTGGAACTGATCTCCAACCTGTTCCTAAGCGAAGGGACTCCGGTTCATTCCCAAAACCCGGAAGAAATCCAACAAGCCAGGAGAGATTTGGGAGTCATAGATTCCAACAGGGTTCGTTTTTTGCTTCCCTCAAAGATCACATTTTGAGGGCCCTGTTCTCCAGATTTCTCTTGGGTGTGGAAAAATATCTCGGGTCATTCTGGCTGCTTCGTGCTCTCCTGCAGGTCTGGTGCCTCACGCAGAGGGAGTGGCGCAACCTGAGGCGGATCGGATCCGGATGCGGATCCGGAGCAATGGAAAGCCCCGGATGAAGTTAAGCCCCCGGAGGATTTGGATTGGGTGGCCCCTTTTGGGAGGTTCAGGCCACTTTTGGAGGGGGAACAACCCAGTTTTGGAGGGGATTCCACCCCTGTGAATGGGTTTACTCCGGGGAAAAGCATTCTGAGGTCAACCCCTTTCGGCAAGTCTCTGTTGAAAGTACGCCTTACTAAAATTGTGAGTGGAGGGCATGGCGTTTGTTTCGCTTGGAAGCATCCAAAAAGGATCGTTGAAGCCTCTTGGACAATGGCAGATTCCAAGTGGCTGTCCTGTTGTGTCTGATCTTAAATGGCTGTCCGCGTGCTCCAAATGTGTTTCCTCTACAGAATGTGTCCAAAAGCCTCGCACAACGGAGGACCCAGAGAAGTTCCTCACGGACAATTGAAAAGCCCATCTTGAGGCTCCAAATCGGGCACGGGCAAGAGCTGGCGGCTTGATGGGTGCCGCCTTTTGGGATGGTCTGTTAATGTAAGTGAACGGAGGTGTCCCACACCCCAGCTGAAAGCTTAGGTCTCTGAAAGCTGGCAATTGAGGGTTGGGCTTCCCCCATTGAACGAGGGTTCCAACGTGAGGCGGCAAGGCGGTTCCTCTGCTTTACATGAGGAAGCAAGCCATTTCTGGTGCCAATTTTTGAGAAGCACCTGCGGTCCAATTGCGAGGGACGGTGGAACTCTTCCTAGATTTCCTGCGAACACCAAGGGGGGTCTTAACATTTTCCCATGTCATTGGGGCATATCAAGGGAAATCGCTTTGGAGTTCACGTTTAGCTTTGGTGTCACTTGGTATATTTCGTGATTCAAGGGAATTCCTTTTGGAGAATGGGTGACTTGACTTAGTTTGGCACAGCCATGCTGGGCAGACTGTGGCTCAGGCGTGACAGCGCATCGCTGAAGCCAGGCACTCAGAAATCGCGCTTGGGTTTGCATGGGACACTCATGCAAGCCGCTATGGTCAAAGGACCACTTGGAGGGATCAAGGGACGGTCCCTTTGGCTGGCCCACTTACTTTTCTTGAACCCAAGCCCATTCAGGGTCACTGAACCGGGTCAAACCCAGTCCCATGGTCGAAGGACCCGTTGACCCGGATCTGCCCAGGATCCAACTGGGACGGTCAGCAAGCCCTTGGGGGTTTTAGGCGACCATGGATAAGGACTCCGTTTTGCAATGACGATGTGCCTTGATTTTGGCATGGCGCCTGGGACCAGGTTTGCTTTAGCGAGAAAGGCTGGCACCCGTTTGCGGGTTTGTGCGTCACCTCCTGGTTGTCATAACGTTCCCTTTGGCGGGGTAACTTGAAAGGACATGCAGGGCAACCCTGGCTTGTGTTCTATTGAGGTGAAGCTGCGCACCCCTCCCAGGAGTTGGTCTTGTTTTGGTTTCCTTGAAGGTGAACACCCTCACAATATCGAACATTTTCAGTTGGTATACTTTGAGAAAGTTGTTTCGCGTGTTTCCGGTGTTTTGACCAGGGTCTAGGGTCTGACCCGACATGAGGCCCGGCCAACAAATATGATTTGGCGCATCATGTTGGTATTTCCCGTGTTGTGTATGTCTGTTTCGCAAAGGAAAAACACACATTTTTGAGAGGGAAACCCACCAACAACGACAAATCTCGCCCAGGGGTGGTTCCCAAGACCACACATCATTTTTTGAAGCCTCTTTGGTCCAACATTGCTTCAGAGCCCACTCCCAAGCACTCAGGAGCCACAAAAACCAACCCTAAGCCAACCCTAAACCACCACAACCCAACCACAGAACCACAACCGGGGGGGGGGGGGTACTTGTCTGACCCATGACCATTGGGGGGGGGGACTGGCAACGCTGTACCAAATAATATATATATATATGTCTGTTTTTGAGAGTACCCATTTCATCCTAGGTTGAAAGGGACACCAAAAGGAAACGCGCGACACTCGCGGATTTCGCCCAACCCTTACGCTGGGACACCAGGATTGTGTCTTGGCTCCTCCAGAACACAGCTTTCGCAGGCTCCGCTTCGTGCTCACCGGCTTTCTGACCATTCTTTTTTCCCTGGCCCGGAACCTGAGTGCGCTTGGGACGGGATGTGCCTGCGGGCTACATCGCGCAAGTTTGACATTTCCTTTGGGGGTAATGGTTTTCCCTCCAAAACGGGAAAATAACGGAAAGACGCCTGCCGCTGGAGGCTGACGGAAAACTGTGTTTGAGGTCTACTTGATACCAAGGAAACACTCAACCCCCTTGTCTTCTTTAAGAAATCAAGAGGAGTTTGTTTAACATGCTCATGGAGAATCAGGGTTTAGGTTCCCAAAGTGATACCAAGGGGAACCCCCTTCAAAATGACAAGCACATTATGGACATGGACATCTCACTTTCGAATCTCAGGTTACTTCTACAATCCACGGCTTGCTGCTTGTCGCTGAGCGGAGAAAAGCGAGCAGAAGAAACAACATAGGGACTTGGGGAAATAATGCGTTTTGGTGTGGATTGAAGAGGGGCATTGTGCCATCTACTTCAACCAACTGTAAACATGAGGGTGGGTGGTTGGTTGTAATATCTGGTTGTGTTTGATTGAAGGACATCGCAAACGAGGGGATGACCATTTGCTCACTAGCCGAGGAGCAAAGAAGCAAAATTGAGATTTCCAATCAGCCAGACAAGATCCAACATGGAGCATGGTACGGTAAGGATTTTACTCACGAAGTAGTTAGAGACTTTGTGCAAGATTCAGGCATCCAGGCACCCCGAAAAAGCCGTCAGGTCTTTTGCAACGTCGGGGAGCACCCGGTGCTCGCACAGCTGCGCAGGGGAGGCGGGGTTCCAAAGCTGGTGCATCCCCTTACTTTGATGTAAGGGCTGATGCCCACATCCGATTTACAAAAGAGCCATGAAGTCATGTCAAGGACATGGGGAAGCCCTTCATTTTTGAACCAAAGTATTAAACAAAAGGGAAGGGCACCCCCATAATAGTGGTCTTCCTTTAGTTGCCCACAAAAAACAAGCACACACACACACACACACGCCAAGCAAGGGCTATCACTAAAACAAGACTCACCCATATGATTCATGCCTATTTGGGTAGGGGGTCTACGGTGCCCCAACCTTTCAATACCCACTTGTTACAGAAAATGATGTGGAGGTAGATACTACGATAGCCCGGCTTTTCAATCATACCCCAACTCGGTATGTATTATGAGCAGGGGGTATGGGTTTTGTCGTGGAATACCGCGACAGTTCTTCTTGATTGTTTGTTTGGGTTTGGCTGGCTCAACATTGTGAGTCCAAGTGAATTGAGAGCAACCGCTCCGGCAAACCAATATCAAACCGCTGCTGATGATGAGGGTCAGGAGGGGCAGGAGGCGGAGGAGGAGGAGGAGGAGGAGGAGGAGGAGGAGGAGGAGGAGGAGGAGGAGGAGGAGGAGGAGGAGGATGACGGGCAGCGGCGTAGGTGGCTTTTTCTATCGTACGTCCAGTGGCAGGGTGTTCCCCGCAACTTCCGCACGCCGAACGACATCCCGAACCACTAAAAGACTGAGCACTCTGAGATTCCTGTCCGGAGGTTCCTCTGCATCCCTCGAACAAGTAGCAGCACCTTGACTAGCTTGAACAGGGCGGACAGACAATCCTTTGGCAGAAAGAGGTCTGCCCTCGTGGGCATCTGGGTTGTCTCCAGAGACCGACGTCGAGGGCAACCAAAGCACGTTTGCAACCACAAGGAATCCCAGAAAATACAGCTCGTATTTTTTTCTCTCTCCTCCCGCTCTCTCCCGGGCTCCTAGTAGTGTCATCACGACTCCGATGCGTCTCGATGCATTCTTCAACAGCGTCTCCCACGTCTGTAGCAGCTGCCTGAGTGCCCGCATATGCCTCCTCAGTATTTCCCAACTTTGTGGGTGTGGGTGGTTCACCACGAGGCGCAGGTACACGAAAAGGGATGGCCGGTTACCTTAGGGTCAAAAAGTACTGCCCTTGCTCCGTAGATTACCGCCGTGTTAGGACTGTAAAGGCTGCCTTCCCACAAACTGCGGTCTTAGAGGAAAGTGGTCTCCCAGGTCCGCTTTAGGTTCCATGTTTGTTAGCTGGTTTTTATCCCAACATTCATAGGTGCCTGGAGCGGTTTTGGTAACCACCTGAATTATCCAACTCGGCATGGTTGGACCACTACCCATATGGGTGTGGCTCCTTCTTGCGATGCTCGCTAGCCTTTTCAGGGTGGCTTCAAAGGGAAGCCAAAGGAGAGCCCAATACCCACAACTGTAGCCGTCCTTCCCCATTTTCAGGGATCCGTCTCTTTAAATTGCGGGCCAATCGCCCCTGGAGAAATGTGTTTCTAAATTGAACGAGTGAAGAGACTGGTTGGAATCAACCCTTAGCCAGGTGACTAGTAAGGACACTCATGTGCCAGATACCCCAGATTCGTTGGGAGGCCCCTGGCAAGCCCTGCTGTCACACCCGCGGCTGCGGCGTTTGCAGTGCCTGCACCCGGGGGAGGGGGGCCGGGGGGTGAAGGGTAAATATCTTTTCTCAAGCATTGAGTTTCTGTTGGTTCCCTTTGAGTGACCCCAAATGGTACAGCCCCATTTGCCACAATAATGGTTTACTTTGGTCCCCTTCTGCTTGGTCTCAAAAACAGACACACCCGCTCAGTTGTTTGGTTTCCTTCCGATTTCCCTTTCCGTCCATCCACAAACGGATCTGCCGTGATATTCCTGAGCAATCTTTTTTACGAGCTCAGCGATCGAGGGTGTGGCTCGGACTCACCACGAAGGTCCCTTCTGTGGGGATTCCTTATTTCCTGCTAGGGGAGTATGTGTCAAGATAGGGGAACCCAATAAATGTGTTTGGTTTTTTCTGGGCCAGCCCGAAGGGGTACCATCAAGAACACACACACACAGACACACACACACACACACACATCTATTCCGTCCCTTTGGTTTCCCTTTGAAGTTCGAGATAGACCATCTGCCTTTGGGTTCCTGAGGCGGCTGGTGAACACGCAGCAAGTTCCACTGCTGCAGCAGCTGCAGCAGGAGATAGAATACCACTACAAGGCCAGGAATCTCTTTTGAACATGATGCGGGTTTATGCTTTTGAACATAACATATGCCAGGGACCCTTGCAGCCGTGGGTGTCACCCGTGTTTGAACTCAATCAGAGCCATTTGGTTTCCTTTTGATCGGTTGGTTTGGTTAATAGATGGGTTTCAGCATGCATTTACAAGGGACACCCATCAGATTCTCCAAACGCTCACGTGCCCAGAACTTCCAGCTACCGCTTAGTAGGGAACCAGGGATGCTTACCTTTAGGTTTTGTATGGCTGCTTTTGGTACTATCGCGGTAGCTGCCCAACACATTACAGACTTTGTTTTGGTTGGCGGGCCAGAGCTAAGTTTGGGGTTTCCCTGCTCCTTCTCCGACTGGTTCTGGGAGGGTGGCACCTCCCTTAAAAAGACCCGACAAAGCAGGGTGTGTGTCCTTTTCCACGCAATTCCACAGGTCTCGGCTGTTGGATTTGTTCAGCTACCTCTTGGTGTCTTTTGGAAACATGAATGGACTCTCCGAGTAAGTGATTTGAACACTACACTGAAACCAGTGCCGTTCTATTTTCAACCAAGCCGACCCAGAAGAACAACTATGCCGCCTGAGTAGACAGTGGTTGTATGCCGTCCATGTTTTTTGGGTTGTTTAATAGTGACTGGCAAAGATCTGACTTTTTTGGCGGTGCTTTAGCCAAACAGAGCGTCCAGTCACGGTGCAGGCGATCGGTATGAGTTTGGACCTTTGAACGCCATCAACCCGAGTGCAGTACTCATTGGGAAGGAATCCAGGGCACACTCACGCCCAAAGCGCTGCGAAGATCACTGCGCAAGAGTCTTGTCCCTGTGTCCCACGGATTGCGAGTTAGCGATCTCCCCTGGTTCTGAGCAAAACTTTTACAGGGATGTGGCATGGGGATCTGTTGGCTGGCAGATTTAGTTTGCCAAGCCTGGGCTTCCAATGACTTCAGAATTTTCAAGGGCACCCTCATGACGGTCTTCCGCAGGGCACCCTCATGGTCTTCCTTGTGGTCCTTTCAAAGCCACTGAAAAGGCCACCAGCCCATGCCCAAGAAAGAGACACGTGCGTCTGCTATTGCGTGCAATATTTAGAGAATCTTCATATTACTATGGGTGTGCCTTTTGAAGGGTACCCTTTGCACGTCGCTTGGAGTAGAACTCAAAAGGAAGACCGCCATTGTCGGGTTCCCCCCCATGTTTTCACAGCCAAAGACCATGGGCCTGCCAGACATACCCGCTGAAAAAAGAAGGGGGGGGTGACCGAGGAGGCAAGCTCGCTATGGCTTTTTGAAGCCGCCAAACTGTTCGGGGTTTGCTTTTCCCTGTTGGTTTTGAAGGGAGTCTATCACCACTGGACGTGCTTTCTCCTTCTTCTTTTTTTTGCCGCGGGGCTCACGGCAGTGGAGGGAGAGCCAAACGACAAACGAGGCTGTGGTGCAGGTGGGCTTCACTGCGATGTTTAGCGCGCCTCGAGTCGGGATTCGGAAGGGAGTGGTGTGGAAATGAGATGGCCGTGGTTGTCAAAAATAGGAATCCCCAAAATGGGTTGCCCTGGTAAATGGAAACAATGACTAAAGCCTGGTGGTTTTGTGGTGGTTTAACTTTGACCCATACCCAGATTTTCCCAGCTTCGGCATTGTTGGATTGGATCGTTTTTTGGTGGCCACTGGATCAGTTGCCTCTGTGATGTTGGAGGCTGATTAGTTACCTAGGCCCTGGTGAGCGGGGACCCATGCCAAGAGGGTGGTGCAATGAGGTTGCTGTTGCGCAGTGCAGAGATGATCGGGCAACCCCGAATTGGTGGTTTGGATGGGTGGTTCGGGGCCCTTTTTTGGAAGCGCTGGTTCTTGAGGGTAAACGGGACTTCCTACACATCCAAACCACCTATCTAAAGGAAGGGGTCCGTCATTTTGTTTCCCAAGGAACATGTTCTTTTGGATCGAATTGGAACCGCTAAGGTGAACCTAAGCTGACATTTGTCTTAGGACGTTGCGCCATGGTGCCTTAGTGGGGGCTGGTCATGAGCAGGTAAATGTGGTTTTGGAAAGGCATAGTAAACATTCCCAACTTACATGGTGAGTTGCGATGGCGCAACACATGAGTGTGGTTCCTGTTTCGAGGCCCATTTTTGGTTGCGTCAAGGGTCCAAGAAGCCAGCTTTAGGAAATTCCACAGGCTGGTTGTAATGGCTATGTGGCTAGCTTCGCTTTAGAACTTCCTGCAGCTAGCTTCTATGAGGGCAGCAACACAAGGTGCCCTCAAAAATGGCCACTTGTTCAAGGGTATAATTTGAAAGGCCACATATTTTCCTTTTTGGCCAGGAGTTGACAAATCATGCCCTGAAAGAAAGCTGGGGTAGTCAGAGATTGCGGCGCCGCGAGAGTGCGGACCAGGGTTGGTGGGGCAACATTGTTTTTGCCAGCCCCTTGTCCCATATGGGAAGCCAAAAGGAGTTTGCAGGTTCAGTGACATGGCTTTGACCAGGGAGGTCTTCAAACGTTGGTGGTGAATTGTCGTGGTTTTACCAAGGGGTTCCACAAGGCTGGGTCGAACATCCAGGTTCCTACCGGAAAGTTTTCAAGCCATTCCTCCAAATGGCCATCATTTCAATAGGGAATCCCTCCAAAGAGGTTGATTGATGTTCAGAGGAGTGTGCAGCAGGGTGGGTTTTTGCAAAAAAGAAACTGTTAAGGTTTTCTACCCAAAACCCAAGTTTGTTTGGTGGAGACCGTCCTCTAGCCTTCAGTTTCCCAGTCTCACACAAAATCGTGAAATCTTTGTTTTTGTTTCTTTTTGTATGGCCCAAATGTAGCTCATGGACCTTGTTTAGCCACAGCAGCTCCCAACACCCCTCAAAAGACCATTTCAGTGAATCGACCTGGTGTCGTGAACAAATAATCCACTATTTTCTTTTTGAAGTGACCATCTCTCAATGTGTATATATTACACATATGAATACATATGAATACATATATATATATATATAATACACACGCTTATGCCCATCTTAGAATCCAACGCCGGGTGTTTCACCGAGAAGAAAAAAACAAAAACAACACAAGTCCGCGGAAAGCTTTCCGAGGCCTCGCAGCCCACGATTCTGAGCTTCCCCCTCGAGCGCCCCGTCTTTCTGCGCGAGTATTCCTCCAACATGCGGGGGCCCCGTCCGCTACCGGGCCGGATGGTTTTTTGTCGTCGGCAAAGCGGAGTAGGTTTTGGGTGCCCTACCCTAAGGGTCAGGACCCCGTTTGAACCAATGCAGGCCTCCGAGTGCTGCAATGGAGAACCAACAACCATTTCCTCAGGGGCCCTGGAAAACAACCAGTTTTATGAACTTTTGGGATGATATTGAGAAACAGGGGGAGACCCGAATCCCTGCAAAGTATGACGCGTGAAGATATCAATGAAAGACGTACCCAAAGAACATGTGATTCTCATTGAACGGTTGGGGCACTTTGAAAAGGACCCGAGGGGAAAGAGTCACCCTTTGTTTGGGGCCCACAGCTGCCCAATCCGCTGCGCCCGGGCACTGGGTTGCCTTGAGTCAACGATATCTTCGGTATTGACAACTTGAGCTGTCCTGCCATGGGCTGAGCAGCGTGTGTCGCTGGTGAACGTTGCAGAAGGAAAGGCGGGGACCAAAATGATGGTGGAATTTTGCAAGAATTCCAAGGGTTGGGGATAAAGATTGGTCAAGCTTACAAGTAATAAGCCTGAACAGCAGTTTTGGGAGTTTGTGTATGTGGTCCAACCTGCGGTCCATGTTTGGCCCCCCAATGATGTATAAATGATGGTTTTACACGTTGCAGGGCAATCTTTAGGAAATTCAAGCCAAACACCCACCTAAAACATGGGGATTTACAGAATGTCCTGTGATTTGGGCGGTGGTTGGCACATTTCCTGGGTATTTATATTGAACCCTTACCTGCAAATCCGATCCTTTTGGACCTCGAGTTGTCATCACCTGCCCTGCCAGGAAATTCTGCAAGAAAGCCCAACCCCCCGGCTTTTTGCGTGGTTTTGACGATTTTCCTGGAGGGATTCCTGGCCATGGTTTCTCAGAATGTTTCGCATGATGCCAAAACGGTTCGTCAAACTATATCTCAAGCTTCAAGATCTTCCATTTCACTCCAAAAGAGACTTTTTGCTGACACAAGAAGGATTAGTACTCCAGCGCCCTCAGAGAAACGTACAAGGGATATTGTTTGATCAAACATTTTTAACCACACCAGAGGAATCAATCATCTTCATGTTCCGCCCCCACCAAACACCAGACTTTGCGTCTCGACACAGGCGTTTCTTTGACAAGGGAATCCCAAACGAAAAGGCCCTGGACACATGTTTCCTCCTTTTTCTTTTTACGAACAGTGCCAAGGTATGGGACGCTAGCGTACTTTCTGTCCAAGATGCTTGTGGAGGCGGGCAGGAAGCGTTCCAACAGAGTCCCCTGCGGTCCCCGGCCCTCAACATGGGGTGCTTTCAGCCCCGGTTTGAGGGGTCAACCTTAGATCATGCGGCCACGAGGCGCGGGTCCTTTTTGTACAGGGCAGACTCCTTTACCAGGCTGCATGACACTGAGACGGGTTTACATTGACCTTACATTGGGCCTGGCAAGTGCGCTCACCAGCGCACCGAGGCCCAGTGCCGCACACAGGGGTTGCAGTTTGTTCCCCTCCTAGCAGAAGCTTGCGGGGGCGGCTGGGCTCCTGCTTGCTGCGCGCACTGGCGAGCCCGCGTCGACCGCCCGGGAGCACCTCCTGCTGTCGCTGAGTGTCATGCTCCGGACCCCGCCGCTGCCTTTGCTGGCCCATAGCCTTCTCGCGCATGGTGGTGCCATGAAGTTCGGCATTGGGTGCTGAGCCTGCATAATGTCTATATGGCAATACTTATGCATGCTGTGATGCCTTCAGACTGAGGGCTCTGTTCAGTTTGGCGAGGCTACTAAGTCTTGTAATTCCAAGTACAGCAGGACCTCACTTGCCCCCTTTTTTCCTCAGAAGAGGGGTAGTGAAGTGTTGCCACACCACTTGAAGACTGTACAGCAGACTCTGTCACCTTTGTTGTGCATGAGCTTCTTGTGAAATCAGCTTGTTTCTGCAACAGTTTTTGTAACTTGCTCTACCCTGTACAGAACAGAGGCCTGGCAGGTATATCAGAAGGGCGCTACAAGGACAGACGCCCGTAGGTCTTTTTAGGGGGGAGGGGTACATGGAGGGGGAGAGACTTTGTAAGGAACCCGAAGGACCCCTCGAGCTCTCAACTCCCCACCAGACGGCGAATGAAGCGCCAGGCGCCGCTGGGGGCCCTGCAGGCGTTGCTGGCCCTGAGCATCTCGCACCACTACATGAGGCGGGTTCCTGTTGGTTTGTTTGTTCTTCCTTTCAAAGGAAGACATATCATAAGTCGTGCTTACGGTTCAATGATATGTTTTCGTGGCTGTTGTCTTTTGGTTTTGGCGTTGATGGTGCTGGTTTCGGGTTCGTTCTGGTTCTCTCAGTTTCTTTTGGTTCTTTTGTGTTGCTTTTTGTCGGTGCAGTTTTTAGGGTCGCTGAAAGGATACCTGGGGCCTTTTAAACAAATCGCGCCAGCGGATCCACATCCTGGTAAAGCAGGCGGTTTTTGGATAAATCCTGCTACCGGATGCAATGGTCTGTTTTGTCGCCACTAGACATTGCGGTCGCAAATGCGAGCCATTTGTCCCGGGAAGCGGGAGCCATCTTGTTTCATTTGGAACATGAAGGCACCAGTTTGCTGCAAATGCGCTTGCAGGCAAATGAGAAGCCCGAAGCGCTTTGGAGGAATCCCGGGGGCGGGAGGGGTGTTTTGGGATATGCGCAGCAGTCAGTAGAGTTAGAGTTCTCTGAGTTCTCTACTGTGGGAGCGGGATGACATGGGGCACTCTCACCAAACTACCATTGGTCCTGGGCGGACTTTGTCCCACGGCCGCCAGGTTCCAAGGGGAGTTCCTGGAAATGTGGGCCACTGCCAGCAGCTCAGAGCGCAGGTTGGCTCGCTTTTGGGACCCTTACAGTGTTGATGTTCTTGGAGACATGCCAAACTGTTTTTTTCCTCAGAAGGGGCGCAAAAGGACCGGCCTGTGTTGTCATGAAATTTGATCTTCCCCCTCCAAATGCCGACTTGAAGGCTCCATGTGTTAGGGACCTCATACCCGCAAAGTTGGGCATTTGGAGCGGTAGGAAGGTCGTGCCAGTGCACTTCGGACTTGGCAAGCCACTCGAGGAACCGTTTGGATTTTTCGGAGGCGCGCTTTCCACTGCTGAAAGGCTTTGCGTCGGTGCATCAAGGTGACACTCAGTCAGGTCTTTTCCAGTTGTTGTATGGAGTTTTGGACATGGGATGGGTCTCAAGCAGAAAGAAAGGGGATCGCACACACCACACCAGGGGGACGAACCTGAATGTTCCCATGCCCCTTGTCACATCCCGGACCCCCCCCCCCCCCCCAAATAAACCCTTTTGAAAGAAACAGGCGGTATATGTCTGAGGTGTGCCTCTTGAATGCCTGTGCCGTGTCATTCTCGCTCCTCATTGGTTGCGCGGGCCTTCATCGATCGGCCGGTTTGTCAGACGAGCAGCCAGGGTTGGGCCAAATACGAGCCACCTCGAAGAAATACAAAGGATATGTCAGCAGGGGGTTTAGCCATGGAGCAGGGCCCCTAGACCGGACACGTGCATGGACTTTTTTCCTTGGCATGCCGAACTTGTTCCCTTTGAAAAGGTGGGGTCAAAAGGACCACTCCTGCAAGCTTTGAGGCGTTTCGGTGGTCTGTGTTTTTGGGCCCCAACACGCATGTCGGATTTGTCTTGGGCTTCCCGAGAAAAAGAACATCCCACAAAAGGGTGCCGAGCCCCAAGAAAAAAGACGAGCCACCCACTTGTCTGCTCGGTGGTTCTCGTTTAGAACAGTTGCCCAAAGCCGACCTTTTCACCTTAGTGTCCTTTTTTGGTCCATTTTGAGTCATGGCCCCAAAAGGTTCGCCTTTTGTTTCTGGGTCCTTTCGGCAACTGAGAAATGGGTGCTACGTGAACATCGGAGCTCTGGGTTGAGCCTGATGGCGAATCGTGAGTGAATCGTTGCCACACATAAACAGATCCTGAGCAATGGCCACGGTTAACCTAGCATGCTGGAAAAGATCCGCTTCGCACCAGTATTGGTGGTGAATTCTAGTCTTTAAATCGGGTTTCATGTGTACTGTTGAAAGATGTTTCCCGAAAGATGCAACCTCATTCAACCTCTCATTGAGGGAGCCATTGGATCCAAACTCAGCACGTGTTGAACACAGGAAACAGATGGGTATTGTTTCATACCCACAACCCATGTTCTTGCTTGCATCAGGAAACCCCAGTGTGGGGTGGAAACCTCGTTCCAAGAGGGGCGTATCACATGGAACTTGCAAGAGGCATGAGCCCCATGCGTGCTGTGGGCCAGTCCCACCCGGCCTGGTTTCGAGGGCTATGTCATACCAACAGTCTCGGGTGAAACGGGCACTCAGAGTTCTAACTAAGAACGGAAAATGAGACACTAAGAGCGGAAAAGAGGGATACTCAGAGCGGAGGAAGAGAGACGCCCACGGATTCTGAGGCCTGGTGCGGTACCCCCGTGAGAGCGGCGCCATCGGTCCCTTGGTCTTCGTGCCGCAGCTGCTGATGTCAGGCGAGCGAGATGCGAGCGGCTGGGCGGGGCGGTTTGCAGGGCGGGTTGGAACCTACTCCCCTGAGCTCCTCTTTACACTGTTTGGGACCAGTCTGTGGCAAAAAATGATTGATTTGTTTGGCCAATCCACTCCGGAAAGGGGTGAGATGATGACGAGTAATGATTCAGCACCTTCTATTAGGTCTTTCTGCAACCTCCACTAAGCCAGAGAGTGAACATGTAATCTGGCCATACTGGCAACAGGCCATTGTTGGGCCCGGCATGTATCAGCACACTCTAATGATCTAAGGGTTGATCTCTTGTCCATTGTGTTCACCCATCTCTTCAGACACCACCCATTTGTTTGCGGTTTTGCATGTTCATCTCGGAGAAAGGATGACAGATCAGAATGGGCAGAGTACCCTACTCCCAATATATACATATACATATTTAATATTTGAGGGTATGACGTCAAACAGATCCAGAGGCATGAACCTCAAACCACCCCAAGACCCGTCCTCAGAGATCACAGCCAAGCCAGCAAACTCCAATGCACAGAGTCAATATGGCAGTGTCTCTTTTTGGGACCTGAACCTATTGTGAGTTTTCCTTTTGGTTTCCCTTTAAATCCGCCAAAAGGGGGCACCCTCAGCCAACCATCCCCGCCCTTGGTCCAGATGCTTAGTCGCCAGTGAGAAAAAAACAACAGCGCAAGTAAAAAGACCCTACGCACAGCGGGTATTGTGAGGAATGGGAACGCAAGATGAATCAATCCATGCAGTGCTGAATAGGGGTGTTCCATTAAAGAGGCAATCCTTGAATCCTTCAATTTTGTGGGCGCCCCCCCCCCAAGTTAGTGGGATCGGTATATAGTATATTCATCCGGGGTTCTTTTATTTTGAGTACCAGTGTTGGCTTCTGCTCAAGTCAAAGGCTGAATGGGCTCGCCATCGTTTCGTTCCTCGCTCTCGCTCGCTCGCTGGTTTTCCATTTGGGAGCCTGTTGCTTCGAGCAAGCGTTTGGATATGTTGTTTGAGGGAAACCAACCAACCAAATGCCTGGTTGGCTCGTTGCCTGATTGTTTGGTTGGTTGGTTGGTTGGTTTGTTTGTTTCTTTTCTTTTGGGGGTGGCTCACAAGGCAGAGAATCTGCCCGTAGCTGAGGACTCTTAGAAGGGAATCGACGAACTGAGGTAAATGGATAGGTTCCCAAAAAGGGGGTTGGAACATCGTGGTGTTGATGGGTTTCTTCAAGAAATGCATGAAAACAAACACATACCAACTACCCTCAAGTATTCCACCACTCCAATTCCCCCCCCCTTCCCCCTTTCTCTGGGTGTCATGTCGGCCCCCGACTAAAAGGGTTGCATTTACAAACCAAGTCTTTGGAACCCATTCACGTTTCGTCCAGCGAAACGTCGCCAGGTACGTTTATCCCAGTCCAGGCGATCCCCCACTTCCTGCGCTGGATGCAGTACGTGAGCTTTCTTCAGACACTTGGACTGAACTGCCCCCAAACCCCCCCCCGAGACCCCAAGGCACGGGTCCGCGTGTGCCTTTTGGTCCGTGTCCCTTTTTGAGGCTACAATTTGCAGGTTGGTCCAAAGGGAAACCACAACGACATATACAACGGTCGGGGTCCGAGGAGGAATCGCAGGCGCAGCCCCGAGCAGGCGTCGCCGCGAACGTCCGCCGATTGATTCCTTGCAAACTCGTCGTTTTTGGATACAACTATATGAGCAATGATCAGGATTTTCCGGGAGGATGACGTGGGTTCCGCACCAGCATCATATGTCAGCTGGGAGAATTCATCTTGACTGTGGCTATGAGGTTAGGTCAAGATCCATTCCCAGCAGCTCGTTGGTTTATGAAGGAGGGAACATGGAACACTCACGAAGTTTGCCACAGAAGCCAGGAAGCTCACTGATGTTCGCATGCCTTTTTTGGCAGACTCTTTGGTTTCTGGGTGATTCAAATTCAGACATCACCTTTGGAGGCCGCTCTGAAATGGGTGTGAGAAGCCTTCAAGGTCAAGCCTTTTTAGGGTATGCTGTCAACCCGAGACTTAGCAATGATATATTTGCCATGGGAGAACACTTGTTTCTCCAATGAAACCCCCCTAAATAAAGAGAATCGCAGCGGGTTTACGTGTTTTTGCAGCGCTTCGTCCTTGCCAAGCCAAAGCTGGCTCCAGGGCCTCTTGTTTTACCAAGGGATGAGCAGCACTAGGAATCTCCACACTTTGTTACCACAGAATTTCAATCACATGCATGAGGTCTGTCTTGCAAGCCCTTGGGGTGCCTTGCTTTGGCAGCGGTGAAGCCATCATTCAATCATTCAAAGAGCTGGTAACATGTCAAGTCTGTTCCCAAGCGGACTGCAGGCTGCAATCCAAGAATCCAAGAACAGGTTTCGTGGTTACCAACCCACACGGGTATATACCCCCTTTGGGAAGACACATGAAGGGAAAAGGCACATGAACAGGAGCAAGTCTTCAAAGGGGTCATTTGGGCGTGTGTCGAAATTGGGCGACCCCCACATGGGCGGTGTTCCCTTTGGTTTCCATTCAAACCACAAAAGGGTACCTCACACCCACAGCTTCATTTGGCCAGAACTGACAGAAACCAAAGCAACACCGGAGCGTGGCATCTCAGGTACGCCGTGAAGCTGTTGGCCATTGTGGAATTCCGGAGGCAGAGGGAATGGAGCTGAGTTGTTTTTTTCCTTCTTTGACTTTCGCTTGGTAGGGGTCATCATAATGAATGGAGCCCTGCTGAGCCCTTAGCATGGTTGTGGAAAATGGGTTTTAGGTTGCCAGTTTCTGTGTGGGGATCCAACCTAGCAAGTGATGAGGCTGTCAAGGAAATGATCCATGCTGGCATTATGGAAAGGGTCATCTTCCACAACCATGCGACTCTCAAGACTGCTGCCTCCTTTGGCTGTTCCTAGATGACGAACCACACTTTTGCACGGGGGCGAAATCATTGCACATTTCCATAGTACATTGTAAGATTCAGACAATACTCTAGCCTTCCTGTCCACATTCTTGCTGGCCGAGCACCGACTTGGCAGGTCGCTCCTTGCGATGGAAGGAATGGTTTTGGGGTCGAAACAACGGGTTTGTTACAAAATGGGGAAGCGTGAGCGGTTTCCTTTATGTTCCCTTCAAAACCAAACCAAAAGAGACAGTCTCAACACACACACACACACACACACACACGGAAATCTGGACCAGAAGCAAAGATATGTGGCTGGGACTAGGGCGCGAGACCCAAGTCTCTCATGCCCTTTTGGTGAAACCCGCATGGTTGTTGGCAGTGGCTGTCATGTTTTGGGAAGAAAGGGAAAAAAGAGTTGTCCACCCTTTGGAATTCAGGTTTCCTCTCATCAAGGTCGCGAATTTGGAAGCCCACGCTCGAATTTCGGAGCTCCGCTTAGGAAACCATTTCGGTGCCAAAGGGTCCTCAATTCAAACACGTGCACCCCCTCTTCGTTTCTCAGGCTCGATTTCATACGGTTCCCCATATCCACCCTTTCGGTGGTTTTAAGCATCACCTTCTTGGGCTAAAGTGCGTATCCTGTTGGGGTGATGTTTTTAGATTGTACATATCAGGAACCAACTTGGACTTACGTGTTTAGCCGAACTTTAGTCCAGGCAACCAGCCGCTTGTCCCAGGTCATTGTGCGTTTTGAACACCCATTTGGAAAACTGACTCAGGTTTCGGTTCTTGAGGCAAACCCATGGCAACCATGGAACCCCGTGTGCCTAGCCTACAAATTCTACAGGAAATCCAGCTTGCGCAAATCTCGATTTCCAATAACCAATTCCTAACTCGCTGGTTTCTATGAGGCTTTGTGAAGACCCTTTCTGGGATCCTGGCAGATCCTAAACAACACGAAACACTTCCGGCCTTTGGGCTGGACCGGGGGGGGGGGGGGTGGCATGGACATTCGTTGCTTGCTTTTGGGTTGGTGCCCAGGTTGGACCGAGGGTATCCTGTTGGTGGACAAAATTAGGTGGGGATGTATGTCCAATCACTTTTAACAGTTTGGGGCAACACCCCGGCAAAACTCGAGGGCTTGGAGCAGAAGCTAAACAAAACCAAGTGCCCACTGCGGCAAAATAGGGTTCCGTATACTATAGATGTAGGAAATTGGTTGGAGAACAGGCCCGTATGAGCCAGGCAACATACATTCTGTCCCCTGGTGAAACTGGGCTTGCCTTTGGCTTGGCTTCCCCCGCAACCCCAGGTCTGGACCTGGCCCCACAGTGAGAGCAACGGAGGTGCAGGTTCATTAGAAACCACCCAATATTGACACCACTTAAAACAATTTTAGTGGTTGTCCTGTTGGTTTCCCTTCTTTCACCAACCTCAAAAGGGTACCGAGCCCCAAACAGGACGAGCCACCACTACCGCCGTGGGTTTTGGTCTTTGGCAGTGAGTCAACACCAATGATACCAAAAATGGGTAGCACCACCCATTTTAGTCGATGTTCACTGGGGGTACGATTTGGATTTTGACCATGGTCCTTTCCTGCGCCGCCATTCAATGACCTGAGTCTCCTTTGGCTCCGGCCATTCAGCTCCCAGCTCTCCGAAGCCATCCGGAAGCGATGCTCAGAGGACGGACCCGCTGCTGCAGCGCCTCATCTTCCGCACCATGGAGGCGGCTGCGACGGTGGACCGCCGATGAGCCGGACTTTAGTCACTTTTTTGGGACCAAGCCAGTGGTAAACCACAAGTTCAGACGATTTTCGTCTAATTTACTTTGGAAGTGTGTTGTACCGTGAAACCCATTGGAGGGGGGTTCCCCTATTTTGAGACAAGCCCTCCAACACGCCTTCCTTCTTTGGTGGATAAAACAATCAACACAAGCATCAGACGATGTTGGTATATAGGTGATGCCGACATGGAACATTCCAAGCCCAAAGCGTTCGTGTTTTTAGCCTCCGATTTGCCATTTGAGTTGGGGCCCAAGAAGCAGGTGCGGGGGGGAGGAGGGCCCAGGAAACCCCAAGAATTCTGGACATTTGTGGTTGGTACAGAATGTCAAACACCTGGGTTTCCATAGTGCCGTTGTAAATACCTCCTCTTCTTTTTCAGCAATTGCCTGCCTGCGTAGGCAAATTTCCTGAATTTGTTTGCAAGAGCGAAAGTTAAAGTCTACCACTTCGCGGCTTCACAGTTCTTTGCATTCGTTTTGTTGTGTTTTTTGGTGGATGGACGAGCTCCTGCACCAGTCGGGCTGGATGAACATACTGGGACAAAGCATGAACTGGCGCAGGATTTCGTCCCACAGATTTTTCGGGAGCATTTCCATGTATGGCTTTTGGAGGTACGGATGCTTGTACCCATTAGATAAGTGGTACATAGCCTCACGTCCAACTCCCACCCGAGCCCTGGAAAGTCCAAGAGGCTACCCATGGCGTTCTTTCAAAGGAACACACACCAGACCTCGAGGGTGGACCACTCAACCGATTGTGAGCTCAGGGGTTTAGTGATCCCAAAACCCAAGGTCTTGGATCCAGCTTGTCAGTTGTTCGGCCGAGGTCTTCTCCCTTCTAAACACATCTTTGAGGGAACCCTGACTAAGACAACAGGTGTTTGCCAAGGAACACCTGCTTCTTCTTAAGATAAATCTAGTGAGTAGGGGTTATGATCTTTAGTGAATAGAACCCCAAACTGAGCCGTCCAAAGCGAATCGACCTTTTGGTTCTTATGGCTTTCTCTTTGGGAACAATGTTTAGTCAAAGTTGACACAGGTGATCACCCATTATTTCCATCCTTCGGGCAGGTGAAAGGCGATCCCAATATGTGCGTTGGTGAGTACTTTTGTCCAACAGAGGGCGTCTTGCAGTTTATATTCAAGGGTTCAGGGTATTTTGTTACTGCCCTGGTTGAAACCCGTTCTGGGCTTATGGGACTTACAATCGTCGCGTTTTTAGTGATACCGATACTGGATTATGTTATGTGTCCATGGTTACTTCTCACTTGCCTCACGTAGCGATCGCCCCCTCCAATCAACCTCCAGCACTTCCCGGTTTGGTCCATTTTAGTCTTCAAGAAGGTGTGTTTGGGTGTTATTCCTCAAGCAGGGCTTCAGGTTACTGCTTGCTGGTTTGGGTTGGTTTGATGATTTGAACCCATTCTTGCTAAGGTAAATGGGAAGGTACCACTGAACCCCGAAACCACAAATGCGGATGCGATCAGCGCCGTTTCAGGCGGCCCTGCTACTTGGCATGGGGTGCAGAGCAAGATCTTAGCCTACGTAAACCTTCATGGAAATGTTGTTTTTTACGCGGACCCCTACCATCTTGGTTCTCCTTTTGGTTTCCGTTTAAAACTAGCCAAACGAGGGTTCCACAAAAAGGACACACCCTACTGCCGATGTTGGTAGAACCATTTCTTTTCCGCGATCCGACCGGCTTTCAGGTGGACCCGGACCTGGCCAAAGTCTATGTGGCCACTCTGTTGCTCATGCCTCTTGACACATAATTCGGAAGCCCTGTTATTTTCCTGTTCCAAATCAATATCCAACAGTTGGTCAGGTGACCTTTGATTGGTGTCCCAACCTCGGACCTTGGAAGTCGTGGGGGGGAATCAGAGAAGCCCTGGGCAGCCCATCACGGTTGGCTTCCTCTCAAGTGACGTGTTTGACCATGTTTCAAGCATTTAAGCCATGATTTTGGAAATGGGTTAATCGCAGTTGTTGGGGGCTGCTGGTAAGTTGCTTTTTTGTGGTCGTTTTTTTTTTGGGCGGGGGGGAGGAGCCTCAATTGTTTGGCATTTTTCGCCTGAGTTGGCCCTCTCGTTCCTCGGCTTTTTCCTGAAGCAAAAGATTTGGGTGAGGTAAGTTCCCTTTTTTGCGCGTAAGCGCCGGCCACTTACCGAGCGTCTCCTCCAAAGTTATGCTAGGGTAGACCAAATGGCTATTGATTTCAATAACGAACCGCTCCCCAAAATGATTTCCATAATCAGCATCTGGAATATATTGTTTTTCTGTTTGCAGCTGGGTCAAGCTGCCCCACGCGAATCGATCGCCCCAAGAAGCCATTTTTTGATTGTCCTCAAGCTACCATGGGAACCCACAACCGCTCTCATGTGACCCGCCCCTCTTGTAATATGGTTTTTGCGCTTCCAATGGAGAAACCTACTCACGGGGGTGGTTGCTCATGACCGAACCTAGGGCTTGATTTCTGAAAGAATCGGAAGTCAAGTCTAGCTGGGTAGGTCTTTCATGCTTTGTGCAGGATTTGTTCCATCCAGAGTACCTTTAGGGTTGAACCTTGCCCAAGCTCGAGTGCGCTGATTTGGGCTTGCCCCTTGTAAGGTATTGTTTTTACCCAAAAGCCAAAGGCACTCCAAAATCCTTCGATTTGTTTTTGATGGTGCCAATTTTCGAGGTGGCGTTTTCAAGTAAAAGCTAGGTCCCCCGGTAGTGCCCTTTTGGGGAGGGTTCCCCTACTAGAATAGACAAAAACAGAAAAACGGGTACCCTTATTCTGACCTCTCTACTGGAGGACCTAGAAAGGAAACTCGATTTGAGGTGCGTGGGCTTCGCCCTTGTGGCCATCAAGCTGCTGAGCGGCAAGGCCCACAGCGTCTACTGACGCGCGGCGGATCTCGAGGAAAAGCGCGTGGGGCCCAACTTTGGCTTTCGGGTGGCGCCCCGTTTGAAGCTACATTTCAAAAGAAGGAGAGGCACGCGTTGGCGGACATGAACAATCCCCCGAAGTTTGAGGTCCACTGGGTTTGGCGCCGCTTTTTGGACCCAAAGATGCTGGGATTTCGTCGCGTTTTCCTCTTGACTTCCCTTTCCGACCGGGTGTCAACAACACGACGACATGACGTAGAAAATTGGACAGCTTCCCTTGGCTTCTTGGCAGGGGCTTCTCTTTTCTTGCTGGATCCTGCTGCTAAAAGTGACCTGGAAAGCGCCTCGAGGTGAAGAACGGGGCATCACCCTCACACGCGCAGCATGCAGGAAGGCACAGGGTTATAGGCTTTCCATTTTGGAGTTCCTTCAACCGCCCTCGCGCCGCATTTTGGATTCCCTTCAACCACCGTTTGGGTGTTTCTAATGTGATGAGATGTTCAATCAACTTAGTGAGTAGGTTATAACTTCCATGAATACAACTGGGGTCTTGGGAGCATTGTCCTCTTGACTGGTTAGCTCGGCGGGTTCCACTGGTTTAGATGGGTGTTATGCCCCATTTACCTGGGAAACCCATCCATTTTTCCAAAGGTAATCAACCACTTGGGAGGGCATTCCATATTGAGCACACCAAATGGAAAGTCAGTTTGTGATTGCAGAATCTGCACGCGTCCTTGCGGTTGCACCTCAAAGTGGAACATGAAACATGTCCAGTGGATCCCAGTTGCCATAGGCCCCTGGAGTTGCAAGGGTTCCCTTGAAGCAACCTCAAGGAAATGGGGACAATAGAACTGGGTGTGGCCCCGGGAAAGCTGTTTGTATGCCGTGTTGACTCCCTGTCACTCGAGTTTTTGGACTTCATACTCTTGAGGAGGACCATTTTGGCGGTTCTTTGTATCAGCGCACCCCCGGTTTTTGCTGGGATGCGAACCCATCGGAATACTGGATGTGAAGACGTGCCTTTTTGAGCGCCGAAGATGCTTGGGGTAAACAACAAGCTCAGGCGCGTTTCGGGGCAAATGGACGCGATCGGAAGTGAGTCAACTGACCCAAAGATGCCCACTCCACTTTCTTGCCCGCCTGAGCCGCCGGGCTCAAGGGCGGCCGTTTTTTGGGGGGGTTGGGTTTTGGCGCCAGGCGCCGAGACCTCCGGTGGGCGGTTTGTTGTCAAAATTTGGGTCGGTCTTTTGGAGGGTTCCCGTTGGTGGGAGTTGAGGGCAACCAAGAAGCACGTCGCAGGGATTGCCGAACATTCTCCGAGGTTTCCCAGGTTTGGGTTTGGGACAGATCACTCCGACTGAGAGCAATTTTGCCCTCGTCTCTCATCTCATTTCTCTCTCGTCTCTCTCTCTCTCTCTCTCGCGCTTGTTTTTCTCTTCATTTTTTCTTTATTTTTTTCTTTCTTTCTCTTTCTCTGTCTCTCTCTCTCTCTCTCTCTCTCTTTCTGTCTTTCTTCCTTCCTTCCTTCCTTCCTTCCTCGCTTCCGCCCTTCCGCCCTTCCGCCCTTCCTTCCTTCCTTCCTTCCTTCCTTCCTTCCTTCCTTCCTTCCTTCCTTCCTTCCTTCCTTCCTTCCTTCCTTCCTTCCTTCCTTTCTCTCTCTCTCGCTCTCCTCTTTTTTTTCTTCTCTTTTTTTTTCTCTCTCTCTCTCTCTCGCTCTCCCTTTAATCTCAGGGGTCCAACTCAATGAGACATGTTTGGATTCCCGCAAGCAAGAGGTGGTTGTGTTAACCAAACCATTGCTTCCTTTTTGTTTGAGTTCCGTTTAGCTTTTTCTTCAGGATTACACAGGGTATCTGGCAGTCCCTTGGCCCAGAACAAGTTGATCTGAGCCACCTCAAAACCGATGGTAGAAGGGGAAGGGACCATCCCCTTGGCAAAAAAATCGGTGCGGAGACCAAGAAGCCCTTGCAGCTCTTCCCCCTTAGGCTAGACCGTGGTAGCCCACTTCAATACCGGGTGTTGATTGTGACTCATCTGAGTCCCAACATGTTTGGTAGCCTACTGAGGACCACATGGGGCGAACAGAGGTTTCTTGTTGGGGGCTCATCTGCTCAGAGCAGAAAGGCACAGTATTTGCAAGTCAGTTGGAGCAAGAATTGATCGCAAGCCCAACGGAAGGAGTCGCCAATGTGGGTTCGGGAAAACCGTGCAGAATCTGGAGGTTTGGGCTGACTTAGACTTTTGAGTGAGGGGTTTATCACATATCCCACTTGAAAAAATAGCTCTAAGGTGTCAGCGAACCACAAAGAGGGGAATCTAAGCGCCGTATGGCCTCTCAAAATCGGGAAACCTCCAAGAAGATTGGTGTCCTTTCAGTGTTCCTTTAAAACCCATCTGGAAAGGGTCTCAACAAAACGACGCAACATGGAGATCCCGCTCGACTGGCCAGGGGGCACCTCATGCTCCAGTGCGAACCTGAGACCAGAGCATTGCCATGCTCCCCTGGTGGCCTTGTGGTTTTCCTCTTGCTTCACTTTGAAGCAAAAAGTCCGCGCCTTTGGCAATAGGTCGAAGTCTGGTGCAGTGAACCTGTGGATTTTCCATGTGGGGACTCGAAACCTCTGACGCACCAGACATGCCAAGTGTGTCAGGCCTTGGTGGCGATCATGGACAAAAGGATGCAGGTTGCCAGTTTTGGCCAGGGTTATTTGCATAAACATGAGATGTCCACTTTGGTATTCCATAAGGGTGATTTGTTGCAATCGCGGGGTGGATTCTGGTGTGATATGGTTGAACCCAACTTGGAACCAGCTTGTCAAAGCCAAACTGGACCCAAATTGTTGAGGCTTACTCGAGTTCCCGACCGTGAATTTGTTCAACCATTTTAACGGTAAACAAATAGTTCAAAGCCCTTATGAGGCAAGAAACCTTGCTGACACCATGATTTTGCTTGGAAATCCGTTTTTCCTTCAAACAAGGTGAATGTTTACCGATAGACCATCGAGCCTAGTTTCCATCGCAAATGCCTTGTGAGAGCTATCAGTTCTCCACAACTCTTGAGCTGAAATGCCTCAACTTGGTTTTCAAGTACTTGACATCCGATTCCATGTTTTCGAGGCTCTCATGTTAACTTGCTGATATTTGCGGGCCATTTTTGACATCATTCAGGGCCTTTCTGGATTGGAACAAACGTGATCTTCTTTGCGGGGCCGTTCAAAGGCTTCAAGGGGGCGATTTGAGTGGGGGTGGGTGGGCTATCCCTTGGCCTGAAGCAAGAGATCAGCCCCCAATAGGCACTAGGGGTCGATAAGTCTTTCCCTCCCTCGTAGCCGATTTTGGACTCTCCCTGAGTTCCGGTATTTTAAGCAGGCTCCGTTTTTTGTCCAATCCAGGCAGGAATTGAGCTAGGATGTATTGATCCTGTCAGCTTCCAATTCGCTTTGCTCAGTTTGGAGCCGGGCTGCTGAGGCCAGGGCAACAGCAAAAACAAGGGCATGCGATCAAAATGGGATTCGGCTTCAAATACATGGGTATGTCTTTAATCAGGGGACCCCCAAAAGTGTGGTTGTCCTTTTGGCTTCCCTTTACCACAAGAAAGCCGAGGTACCCTCAACAGAAGACAGGGGTGTTTTTCGGGGGAAAAGGAAAGCAGATCCAGTGATATGACAGCCGTCATTTTTTCAGGTGGTCCTTTTGCGTGCGTGCGTGCGCGCGTGAGTGCGTGAGTGGGTGCGTGCATGAGTGAAAGTGCACTACGTAAGTGTAACAAGTCTGAGTACAAGTGCTCCCCTCTGTGCAATGTGCGTGCGTCTGTGTCTATGTTCTTCGCTGTCAGTCATCCGTGCGGTTCAATTCCGCGGAAGGGCAGTCAGATGTAAATCGATTGGCTTGGGACGAAGAGACGTCTTGATTTCGGCACGTACATTTTTGGGGGGGTATCCGAATGATTGATTGGGGAAGAAGAAAACTATGTGGTTACGGGCGCACAGGTTGCCCTGTGGCTTCGGACCGCACCACGCTATTTCCCCACTGGAATTCCGCACATTCTAGTCAGACCCCCATTTTTGGGACCCCCAAAAACTACTACGTTGTGCAAATCCGGCTCAAAGCATCAAAAAACTGGGAAGGCTTCAGGTGTGCATTTGCATCCAAGAGAGACCTTCGCCAAATCCACTGGTACGTACGGTGACGCAGATGCTCATTCACATCTGATCCCTCGCGCCGCTTCTGCTTGCGATGGAGATTGTAGGACAGCCATCGCTTCAGAGACCACCACTGGCGGTCTATACATTGCGTTCCTGCTTTGGAGCTTGTGCCCCGCGGCAACGGCTCCGGCGGCAACGGCTCAGCGCCCCAATGCAGCGCTGGGCTGCCGCCAGGCAATATGAAGGAGCCCCAGCGACGTTGCAGCCTTGATGCAAGAATGGCTGCTGATGCACGAGTCCCTGGAGCAATCCCACGGTGCAAAAAGATCAGAAGAAACACCTGCAGCAGCTCTGTCCCCTTGCGACTCAAGTCCAACCATGGTAGAGCACCCGCGCGCTGCGAGGTAAACTCGTAAGCCGTGATCTGGCGTAACTCCCACTCTGCGGATCCGGGTTCTGCTTGCTGACACAGTGTAAACTGGTGATCATCCAAGTCACTGAAACTGATTGTCCAAAATCTCTCCAGGCAAGCCCACGCAGGAGGGCAGCGTGGTAATTCCAGCCAAGCCCGATAACAGTGCATGGCGGCACAGGAGCGGTTTAATCGAGAAGACGTGGAATGAAAGTATGTTTGGATGCAACGCCGTGTGAAAAACAGTAGATGAGAGCGGTGCTTGTGCAATCAAAAGGAGTCAGAGCAGATTACTTGGTGTGTGCGCATGCTGCCTGAACGCCAACCAGAACCCCCCCCCCCCCCAAACCCCCTGCGGCTGGATCATCACTTGGCGGGCGGCAGGGGCGCCGAACACGAGGAGTGGAAGCACAGGGCAACCTACACGCCCGACACCAACTATTTTGCGTGGCCCTAAACCCATGTGTTGGCATTGACCGGA